TCCCCTGCCGGTGGCAAGGGGTTTGGAACTGGATGGTCTTTGAGGTCCCTCCCAACCCAAACCATTCCATGATTCCTGGGCAGCAGCGCTGGTCCCTGCTGCTCATGGGCAGCAGCACACCTTGGTCGCCAGTGCTAACCACAGCCGGTCATGCCGTGCTCCTGTCTCCAAGGCATGGTGCTTTCCCTTGGCTTCTGTCTCAAAGGCAGCTCCATGTGTCTTCTGTACCCCAAACCCGACTTTCCCTGTGACCGGGGGCACGACCTGCTCCCCACCCCCAGGTTCCCCTGCTCTAGGAGGTGTCCCAGGACCTGCCACCTCACCTGTGCTCTCTCTGCCCACAGGAGAAGATCAAGACCATGTTTGAGCAGCTGGTGCTTGTGGATCACCCCAACATTGTAAAGCTTCACAAATACTGGCTGGACGTGAAGGACTCGAAGGCGCGGGTAGGGAGTGCTCGGGGTGTCCTGGTGGGTCCCAGGCTGGGGGAGGGATGCCGGTGGGAGCCAGGCAGGGATCCCAGCTCTGCTCCTCGCCCCGCTCCCCGGGACTCCCCTTCCTTCCCCGGGACACCGCTGCTGGCAGCCCGCTCTCTGCCGCGCGTGGGGCTGGCACGGGCCGCGTGCTGCTGGCCGGTGTGTGGGAAGGCTGGGGAGCTGACACCTCGCTTCCCTCCCAGGTCATCTTCATCACGGAGTACGTGTCCTCAGGGAGCCTGAAGCAGTTCCTGAAGAAAACAAAGAAAAACCACAAGGCCATGAACGCCAGGGTAGGTTCCTGGGAGCCGTGCAGGGTGTCCCGGGTGAAGTGGGCAGCTCTGAGTCCCTACAGCTGCTCCCTGAGTTACCCAGGGCCTCTCCACTGTAGGGAGGTGGCATCTTGGTGAGGGCTGGAGCAAGAGCAGAACTTCACCAGGACAGCCCAGAAACCCATCCTGTTGTCAGGATCCGACCCTGCGGGTGGGAACCTGCTGGAAGCTGCTGCCATGAGGCTCAGTGGCATGATGCTGACCGCCCCCGGGGCTGCACCATGCTCTGGGAGGCCAGTGTCCCCAGTGCCTGCAGCGAGGGACCGTGGGCTTGTGGCTGCGCTACTGCCTGGGTCGAAGGACCAGTTTCACCTGCAAACCCACTCGTTCTGGGTCTGATTCATGGTTCTGTGGGCAGGTCTCAGCTGGCTGTGACTGAGGAGCTGGGTGACCATTCTGAGGGCCCTGGGCTTGCCCTGGCAAGCCCTGCCATGGGGTCTGAGCTCAGTACCGCACCGGTGCCGTTAGGCGCTGCTAGAGCTGAGACTCGCTGTTGGTGCGTACAGAGGAAACTGTGTGCATGGACTGGAGCGAGCTCTGCCCCCTCTGCGATGTGTCTGTCCATGCTCCCACCGGGGTTTTGGGGCTCAGGGGAGCTCTGTCTGTTGGCAAGGATGAGTTCTCAGCTTTGGTGCTTTGGGCTGGAGCACCTCTGCTCTGGAGACAGGCTGGGAGAGTTGGGGCTGTTCAGCCTGGAGAAGAGAAGGCTCCAGGGAGACCTTCCAGCACCTCCCAGTGCCTAAAGGGGCTCCAGGAAAGCTGGAGAGGGACTTTGGACAAGGGTGTGGAGTGACAGGACACGGGGCGATGGCTTTAAACTGGAAGAGGGGAGATTTCGATGGGATCTAAGGAAGAAATTCTTCCCTCTGAGGGTGCTGAGGCACTGGCACAGGTTGCCCAGAGAAGCTGTGGCGGCCCCATCCCTGGCAGTGTTCCAGGCCAGGCTGGATGGGGCTTTGGGCAACCTGGTGTAGTGGAGGGTGTCCCTGCCCGTGGCAGGGGGGTTGGAACTGGGTGGTCTGTGAGGTCCCTTCCCACCCAAATCATTCCATGATTCTATGATTCTTTGAACAGGGATTGGAAAGGAGACTGTTGTCGCTGGGACAGCGCGTGGCTCATCTTTGAGTAACAGTCTCTGCAGGGGTAGTGGAGGGTGGATTTCC